AACAACCAACACATCATGTTTACTGACATCTTAAGGCTTAAGGATACATTGCAAAGATACATTGCTTAAGGATACATTACTGGCATCAGGAAGCCTTATCTATACCAACTGATACTAATTATCTATAATTATATAAAAGACTGTGATAAATGAATAATTTAAGCAAAAAAACTATTAGGATTTAATTAATTGTACATGATTGCAGCATACATCTAAACAAACTGTTATGATAAGTGTTATTAAATGTATAAAAATACTGATAGACTTATTGACTGAACAACTGACTGACTGAGTTACTGATTGACTTACTGACTGAACAACTGGCTGACTGAGTTACTGACTGACTTAATGTCTCACCTACTGACTGACTGGCTGGCTTACTGACTGACCTACTGATGGACTGCCTGACTTACTGACCGACTGGCTGACTTACTGACTGACCTACTGATTGACTGACTGACTTACTGACCGATTGGCTGGCTTACTGACTGACCTACTGATCGACTGACTGACTTACTGACCGACTAGTTGACTTACTGGCTGATCTACTGATTGACTGACTGACTTACTGACCGACTGGCTGGCTTACTGACTGACCTACTGATGGACTGACTGACTTACTGACCGACCTTCTGATCGACTGACTGACTTACTGACCGACTGACTGACTTACTGAAAAACTGACTTACTGACCAACTAACTGATTCACTGACCGACTGACTGACTTACTGTCCGTCATACTGAATGACTGACTGAACTGACTGACTTACTGAACAGCTGATTGAGACTTACTGATCGATTTACTGCCCAACTATACTGCTGTTTGGCTTACTGACTGACTGACTGACTTACTGTCCAACTGATATACTGACCGACTGACTGACAGGCTGATGTACTGTCCAACTAACTGCCTGACTGACTGAATTACTGTTCAACTGATAAACTGACTGACTTACTGACTGTCATATTGAACAACTGATCTATTGAATGACTGACTTACTGACAGACTGACTGTCTAAAACTTTCTGACTGACCTACTCCCCGAGTGAATTGCTGTCTAATTGACTAAATTACTGACAGATTGACAGACTTGCTGATGAATCGACTGACCAAACGAGCGACTTACTGACATGCTGACTGAATGAGCAATTTATTGATGAACCGACTGACTTTCTGAGGGACTGACTGACTTACTGTCCGACAAACTGACTTACCGCCTGACCAACTGACAGACTTACTGACATACCATCCAACCAACTGACCAACCTAGTAAAAGACTGACTGACTTACTGACAGATTGACTGACTTACTGTCCAAACTAACTGACCGACTTACTGACAGACTGACTTAGCAGCCTACTTACTGACAGACTGACCAACTGATTTACTCACCAAATGACTGACTTAGTGTCTAACTAACTAACTTAGTGTCCAACTAACGAAATTAGTGCTGTTTCTAAACATTTGCGTAACCCTGATCTTGGGTAAAATTTGTGTGGCTTCACCAATTACAAAGCTGATGTTGCTTATCTTACAGGGTTTTTATCAAAACAAATGAAATGAACAATCTGAACAGCTTAGTTAACCTGTGAAAGCTAACCAAGCAAGCACAGCCTACTGCGATAATTCTGTACCAATCTTGTGCGACTGTGAATGATTCTGCTTAAATGAGCAGCTGTAGTAAATCTCTAGTGAGAAAAATGCCAGCTACCTGTGTGAGGAGTCGACGGACGTCTGCGTCAGAATGGCTGGAGTTGAGCTGACCCAGTAGAAGCTCTGCAGTCAGACACTGAGACACGAAATTGGCCATTTGGCTGCCGTCGTAACCATTAAACACCCCGTACAGGAAACAGGAATCAGTACTGTTGGGCAAAATAAATAGGATCTAGGATTAATCTTTCACAGACAAGGTATTAAGGTATAAATGAGACAGACGTAAATTTTCAAGTGCTCGGATCAATCCACTGGAATATTCGCTGGATCTGAATCCAGACAGCAGTTGTGCTGGTTGATGACCCCTGTCCTAGCCTATTCTACAACCTGACCACAGAAGCTGCAGTGTTGTGTTTTATATCTCACGTGAAGCGGAAATGGCCGTCCTCATTAGGGTGCATCTGGGTGCTTTTGCCATCGGAGCTGTACACACAGTTTGGGGCCGTGCCCACACCACACAGCTGGCACAGAGGCAGGTCATCTGTCCAGCTCTGGTGCTAAAACCCACAGGAAGAAGTCCAGAACATGGTGTTAAAACATTTCAAAATGAGCTGTTTATCCTCCGAAAGATATACTAGATATTTCACTTGTAAATGAGTACTTATCTGCAGCATTTAGAGGTTGCTGTATTGGGTCCATGATGTACAACTAATAACAGTATATAGCACATTCTAAGGTGACAATGAGGCTTAAATATCTAATATGAGCCTATTTTATTTCTGTTTATGTTTCTTGCTTTAAGTGCAATTTCCTTACTTGCCTTGACAGGTTTACCAGATTTGTGCTATATATGTGTAATAACATCCACAGCCTCCTCAAAAGGTATATTTTCTTTTTACCTCAAAAGGTATATATTGTTCATATTCACTGATTTATGGAAAATTCTGTACTTTAACATCTTACTAAATCATCTTTGAAGGCCACTAGTTTGTCTTTTTATATAATTTTAAGGACTTCCAGGTCGGTTAGTTTAGCTAAGTAAATGTATGGTGTCTAAATCCCAAATCACCACATACGGGAGATGTAGTGCACTGGAAAGGGCGCAGAAGCTATTTTTTCATGCGCTTTCTAGTACACTTTGATAGGGAGTATAACAGCCATTTGGGGTTCAACCCACAAAAGTTAGCAACGCTAACCAGCTTACAGTACCATCACTGTATGTTCAAACACTAGCATCGTAAAGACTCTGGAAAGTGCAGCTAGTCGCCAAAGTTATATACTCAATTCTATAGCACGGTATAATTATTAAATCTATTTTTTTTAGACATGACTAACTAGGTATAGCAAATTAGACAGAGTATTATATAGATATTTAAATGCTAGCAGGCTAACTAAACAAGTGCTATATTTCCGCTACAAATAAAATGTATACAGAGGAATTTTTGACAGCGTCAAAAACAGACAAAGTAGCCACACTTGTAAATAAACGCCATGGTACAAAAAGAAAAAGTGACAGTACGTAATTGTTGTCTTACACTATGCATCAGAGGCTTGCGCGACGCCGCCATCTTGAAGCGGAAACGGGACTTTTAGGATTCCGTAAAGATTCGGAAACGTTCGGTAATCTTCGGCTGTAGGGCTCGGTCTCAAACAACTACACTACTGTACGTGGTACACTAGCATAAGAGGGCGTTTTAGTGCCACTGCAAAAATAAATATACAAGATTTCAAGAATAAAGTCGTAATATTTCGAGAATAAAGTTGTAATATTGGTTGAGACATTTTTTTTGGTAGTTTGGTGATAGTAAGTAAAAGTTTTTTCAAACACTTTTTTCATAAAGAAAGATTAACACTACTACTTCTATTAATAATAAAAATTCCCACTCTTAAGCATTTTATCATGGTCAGGGTGGCAGTGAGTCCAGAGTCTATCCCGGAAACACTGGGCACGAGCCGGGAATACATCCTGGATGTGATGCGAGGCTATCGGAGGGCACCATGCGTGCACACACACACACACACACACACACACACACACAAGGGCAATTTAGCATAGTCAATTCACCTACTGGAATGTTTTTGGGACGTAGGAGGAAACTGGAGAACCCCGATGAAGCCCACATGGTGAGAACACCACAGAAAGTGACCCAAGCTCAGAATCACTAATATAATTTAAACATAATCAAAATTACAGGATATGCACAGAAACTATGAATCATTTAAAACCAGAATAGTGTGAAATTAATACCGTAAATACTGACATTAATTTGTATTTTGCCCCTTGTTCTCTCTTCCTTTTGAATAATTCAACAACTGTAAATGTTTGTGTTTCATCATAAATATAAGACTATTCTTTAAAAACAAAGTTATTTTGGTTATATATTTCTTTATTGTCTTTAAATATACATAAAATCCATTACATCAAAAACAGTAGCACTCAATAGACTCGTTTTCCTTTTTTTTTTTTCCTGTAGCTATCTAGAATAACACAGAGAAGGTCACACAATCCTACATAGCTAGTTTCATCTGCCAACTGTTTTATATAGAGTCATATAATATGTAATATTCCAAAATAAAATCATATTTTCAGACTGTGAATTCAGAAAAAAAGGTTCAATACAGAGAGAGAGAGAGAGAGAGAGAGAGAGAGAGAGAGAGAGAGATGCTTCACGTAAATACAGGAGGGACAGAAGGACACCAGAGTTGTGTATACTTTTCACACCTTAATGTTTTAAAATAAAGTTTTATATTATTCAATTACAGATTTACATATATACTGTTATATGAAATGATATTGGAGCAAAGAATCAGTTTCTTCAGACACATTAAGCAAAAATATTGTCTGTCTGGAAAAAAAAACAATGATTTATCCTTTATCTTGTAAATAAGCCCTACTAGCACAGAAAATATGGATGATTTCGACAAATAACTTTTTATTTTTACAGCCATGACTATTCACATATGCCTGTGTTACTATGAAGTTATTTAATATATGTATGTATATATATATATATATATATATATATATATATATATATATATATAGTCAAGACGACGAATGCTGGAGAAGAATCTGAGTATGAACGCAGAGCTGACATTGAGATGTCAAGCTGCAGATGCTGATGCTACCATCGTAAAACTGAAATAATCGAGGTGTGGGTGTTTATCTGGCTACATGCTGAACCTAGTGAACTGTTGAGTGGTTTTAACATGATTACAGCCTTACACTGTGTTCCAGTACTGCTTCAACATGCCCTTGTTGACGTGCCCTTGCCCTTGTTGAAATCTGAAGCTATTTATGAAGGTAAATAAGTACAAAATTACACTTAAATGAACACTCATTTTGGTTCCCTGGTGGACTAGTGGCTAGCATGCGGCCCTTTCACTGCTGCAGCCAGGGTTCAATTCCTGGTCAGGGAACCGACCCCAAGCCACTGGATAGTCGCACAAGCAAGTGCACTCTCAGTGCCGGTCCCAAGCCCGGAAAATGGGGAGGGTTGTGTCAGGAAGGGCATTCGGCGTAAAAAAAAAACAAACAAAAAAAAGACTTGTGCCAGAATCAAATATGCGGACAAGTGATCCACTGCGGCGACCCTGAACAGGAGCAGCCAAAAGAGGAAAATAAATTAATTAATTAATTAACATTCATTTTGGCGCCCACTACTGTCTATAAAATGAACTGTCTTTGAAATAAAAGCTTGCCTTGCCTCCTTACCCAGAAAAAGGGCAGAACTGAATATCTCTGTTCTGCTAGAGCTAATTTCCAAGCCGGAAAATGTGTACATCGAAGAGTGAAACACAGAAACAAGCCATATTCAACCAATCTCTACCACAGTGCTGTTGAATTCTCAATTCTGATTGGTCAGAAGGTGTTGATTAATTTTCTACAACAGCAGCTCAGGCGGTAGTTCCTAATTTGCAAGGCAAATCAGGTTCTAATACATTAGTGTTTTGATTGAAACAACTGACAAGGACTTCTCTGGTGAACTCTCCACGTAAAAGGATTAAAAACGTGTGTAATTGTTGATGTGAATGCTGATGTGTATGTAAGTGTATTTTTTATTTTGAAGGAGTCTCCAGTGTCAGCGCTTCCTAACAGACAACTGTAATATAGCATAGCTGTAGCTATATGCCGTCTGACACAGGAAATTCTTCAGGACAAAGGGATTTGCGTTTTGTGTGGTTATGCTGAACTAAAAGAGAGAGAAAAAATTATGCTGGTGAATGAACAACTGTTTATAACGTACGTGATAACAGGAACAAACTTGTTTTGCGGATGTTCCACAACATTAAATGTAACCATAAACAGATAAAAAGTATGACACGTCATTTATTAATACATGAAAAATTGTAATTGTTGGCAAATTGCAGTGTTATAAGAGGAATAAAACACTTCAGGATGTACTGTTACAGGAAAGTAATTAACTTCCGGGTGTAACAGCCCTCCATTTCATGTGGGTTTATTACTTACAAAAACAATTTTAACAATTTAATTTGTATACATGATTTTTAAGTACTATTTAAGGTGATGTTTTTTAAGTTTTAGAAGTGCTTTGCTGCATCCAGATGTAGCCATTTACTCCACCGATACAACTTACAACGAGAAACGTAACTTTATTCTGTAAGCTAGTTAATAAGCTAGCTAATTAGCATGCAAGCAATAAGCAAATGCTCCTGCATACTAGCTAGGAAAACAGCTAATTAGCAATGCAATATGACCAAAAACAAGGGCTGTTGGATCATGTAGCCGATACGCACTTGGAAGTTGTGAAGTGAAGTCAACAAGGGCATGTTATATAAGAAATAAAACATGGAACACAGAGCTATTCACCATACAACCACCATTTTCATCCCCTCACCACACGGAGACAAACAGACTCGCCGAGACATGCGGTATTTCTGACACCATAAAACACACACTTCATTTGTATGGCTGACGAGTGCAAGTGGAGGCACCGTGATCAGACGTGTGTTAGCGGCAGTATTTGTTTCATATGGTTTCCAATATAATTTGATAATTTCCATGACATACTTATGTTCCAATTAGAAGGCAGCTTTGTAGCTTGACAGCATTTTTGCACAGCATTGGCATGCTCCAATTTGGAGGACAGCTACCCCTGAAGGTCCTTTATTTTCACTAAAAGGGAGCATTATAGTTATAGAATATTGTTCACATATGGACAAGATGCCAGAGCCAGAGCGAAGAAACAATTACACTGGTGAAAGAAGATGAAATAGAAATACAATACACTTCCGATTGTTTTTCATTAAAGAGATCAAGCGACGTAAGGGCAATGCAGTGAAGGTTTTGCTTTTCAGAGTGGCATGTTTTCTACATGTTACTAATGCAAAGCCATGCAGATTGTGTAGTGTATTTAGGGGATTTTTATTCTTATTTTTTAAGTGGGATTTCTATTTTAAACAGATTCATGCAGGGAAATGCAACACTTTTAACCACGGATTACATTTACATCTGACACAAATTCAGCATTTCATTATTAAAAATCGTCTGCTGATTGTTTTTCATTAAAGAGACCAAACAACATGAGAATGATGAACAGTGAATGATTTGCTTTTCAGTGTGGCATGTTTTCTGCATGACACTAACAAAAAAAAAAGCAATACAATGTGACTGTGTATGACTGTGTATTGTATTTCTTCTTCTTTTTTTTTTACCAGTGTGATTCCTTTTCTGTCTTAAACAGAATCGCACCTTGAAATGCAATGCATCCGGGTGAATTGCTATTAAAAGTGGATCACATTTACATTTGAAACAAGTTTAGAATTTAATTCTTAAAAAGCAGTCCTCTGCTGACTGTTTTTCATTAACAAGGTTTTGCTTTTCAGTGTGGCATGTTTTCTGCATGTCACTAATGAAAATGTTGTTTGTGTATTGGATTTCACGTTTTCTTTTTTTTTTTTTGACCGGTGTGATTCCTTTTTTTTTTGGCTCGGGTAAGGACTCTTCTCCATATTCACTTGATCATATGAAAATTTTGATTTATTTTGAATCGTTGGGTTTTTCAACTTGTTAGCAAACTGCTTTTCTTGTAACTAACAGCTATGTTTGTGTTCAAATATGTGCTTTTAAAATGGCAGAAGTAAAAAAAAAAATCTCGCTAACATTCAGCTAGGTTACTTCACGAAGTTTGGCTTGCTAGTTAGCTATGATATTTAGCGAACACTTGTGCTGTGTTTAGCCCAAGATCAACAGCTTCTGCTAGTTTAGGGTTTATCCTCACATAAGCCAAAAATAAACTAGCGAATCCACTGCAAATCCATTGTCTAGCCTAAAAGTTATGACTTATGGGTTAAAAGATTTATGACTAAAGGGTGACCCAAATGAGATGGTTCCTTTTTGGTTTAAATGGTATGAAATGGGACAGGTACCTGTGAAAGATGCTGCTAGTACAGCAACTGCCTTCAAAATGAAACCGCTAAAATTGTAGTCATGTAATTTTTTTTCTCCAATGTAAGATCCCAATCAATAGTGTAATTTGTTCGGCACGGCCTCCGTTGCTGTGCTTGCTTTCTGGCAGAACATAATATGTCTATTCTGAGTAACCCCAAGAAGAAGGCTTTGATTACTCAGGCAACACACCAGACAAAATGTTGGTTCAAGGCAAACTGGTATAATCACATACTGTATATCTCTTGAAAGGCTAACCTCACGCCCTGCTTTTTGTCGTCACCCTTCCTTTCAAACCTAAATGAAGCCCTACACTCAAAATGATGACACTCAAATAAAGTCAAATAAAGCTGTCTAGATGGCTGAAAACATTCTGAACTTGTCAAATGCATGGTGCTGGCTGGAAACATCTCCTATATAACTCCACGCCACCTTGTAGAACTAACACAGCTCCACCTCCTGCCTTTCCTTCATGTAGTTAGTACTCCTGACGCTGGTATCCTGCGGACCCATCGAACATCCCTTCTCCATTGGGTTGCTGGTACGAGCCTGTTCCCCCAGGGCTCTCGGGCTCGTCACCGCTGGTGAAGGCGCTGTAAGGAGCGGCGGCCGCGTCCTGGCTCGGGTCGGTGTAATCCTGCGAGAACAGCGCCGAATCCGCGCCCAAGTTAAAGCGCTGGAAAGCCAGGAAGGACTGTCCTGCCTGGCCATGGGGGATTGGGTTTGGAAAGGGTGGTGGTAAATGGAAAGCCAGATGTAGCGGAATAGGTTGTAAGCAAAAAAAAAAAAATGCAAGTTTGTTGATAATAAAAAACGAAAATGATGGAATTGGGTTTAATTCATTGCATGACATATGTGTAAACAACAATAACAGATTTAAACCCACGATCCAGGAAAGAAATTGAAGCAAAAGTGGTGTATAGTAGAAGCAAATCAAAGAAGGGTTTGGTGTAAGGACGTGAGAGGGAGAGAGAAAGAAAAGTGAGAGCATAATTAGTCTAGTGCAGCAATTAGTACAGTGCAGTACAATGTAAAGAGGTAATTAAGCAAGAGTTATGTGTACATTTTGGCAGATACATATAAAATAAGACTTAACTTTGTTTATTTTATGCAGAATTCATTTTAACCTCTAATGATTAAAAACGCGGTAAGATTTCATTTACAAAACTGACTACATTGCTTTCATTGAGCCTCATTTATCAAACTGGAATACAATCAAGTTATTCATAAATCATTTGCAGGGGCATTTACAAAAAAAAAAAATCTTGTATTTATGAAAATCCAGGTAGTTCAGAAAAACATTTGTGGAGTTTGTTAAATTTACGTTTAAGGAGACTAAATTAAGTGAACCTTGACTGATCAGCTTCAAACCATAATATATATATATAATATATTATCTAGAATTGGTGTGTGTTACTGCAATTTTATATACAGTAAAGATTACACTGTCAGGTTTAAATCCCTTATTTATTTCAGTAACATTTACAAATTTAATGAAACAGTCATTTCAATTTAATCACAATACCTGATAAAACATTACTGAGACATAATGAAAATTGTCTGTAATCTCTTTTGTTCAGATGGAAAAATAGGGCAATATTCTTCTTCTAGTTTTTTTAAAAAAAATAATTCAGTTTAATTCTTTCCGTCCCCAAATTGAAGTACTGCACACTACTCAAGTAAATGAAATCACAGAGTGGTACCAAAATAGTTCATAGTTTAAAACCGTTTTATTTTACTAAATAAACTGTGATATACCTGTTGTTTCTACCCCCTTTTAATGAAAGATGTTTTTGCACAATAGACAGACTGTAGACGCCGGCGTCTATACCACTAGGGGGTCTGAACAAACAGGCTGCAACGTCTTCACAAATAACGACCTTTCATTTGCTCAAAATGAATAACCTGTCTCATAGCTAACTTTGAATTTGTTTATAGCTTGTCAAAAGTTGAAAATGAATTTGTTCGCTATCCATGACCAGATAAGCCAATAAACTAACAAACAATACTG